AAGGAATCACGTATCAATTGGAAAATCACAACCAGTTTAAGCAATCACATCTATGGATCAAGGTACGCTTCCGCTTCTGATCTTCTCATGGATTTCAATATGGAGTATTACATGTGTATATGGAAGGGTTTGATGAAAGTCTTAAGAATTTTCAAATCCTACAGCCCCAAAAATCTGAACTCCGACGAAGACGATGAGATACGTCATTTAAAGGAAGCTTATAATAGAAACTACACAGGCTGCGATGGCTTCGATATAAATAATGCCAATTCAAATGAAAATCTTCCGCCCCCAATTCCGAATGTTTGTTCTGTTCTTTACTTGCCAATTAAATCACCGCCTATATCAGATTCGACTGACTTGTTCGAACGGTTAGGCTCCGAATATAATTTCAATGAACATTTTAAATTCGAATAGTTCAATTGTGATTGTTTCACAACTTACCTCATATATTAAATTTTAAAAGTAACACTAAAGTCGATGAAATGAATAATTTTGTAATACCAATGTGAGTAGAGTAAACGGCACCGAACTATCCTTTATTCTTCAACCACAATTTTGACAATAGAAAAAAGGAAAATAAGATAAGAAGAGTAAAGCCTCGTAGTTGTTTCTGATTCGCATGTCAGGAATTCAAATAATTTATTGGGTAGGAAACTGCAGCGTTATTGGTTTTGGCTGACCATTTCAATTCCGTGCCTTTCTGAAAAATGTTCCAAGTCAAATACCGTGTTTCATGCAAATAATTTTCAAATAGGAATTGAGACAAAGCTAGAAAATTTGATTTCTCTCACCATCTTCTTCTACTGTTGTTAATCATGGTTTCTTCAAGAGAGCTCTGTAGGGATGCTGCCAGTTTTTTTGTTTATTTCTGTGTGTTTCTTCATGTATTTACCCTCAACTTTGTGTATTCTCAATGCCCAAAAAGTTTCCAGTGTGGAAATCTTGGCACTTTGTCGTTTCCTCTGACAAAATTTTCGCAACCCGGATGTGGGTTGTTCGCGGTTCAGTGCAATGCTCTTCCGAATCCAAGAATTCACCTGGATACTGAAAGGTTATCGACATCATATGAGATTATATCCAACATATCTACCAATCGAGCATTGATTCGAAACCCTATTCTTGAAAGTCTTTTGCAAAGTAAGAGCTGCAATTTATTCTTCCAATTCTATATTCCATATTCTATTTCGTTGACATTCTTCCCAAACATCACTTTGATCAGATGCCCCAAAAATATGAAGTCCGACGAAGACGATGAGATACGTTATTTAAAGGAAACTTATAATAGAACCTACGAAGTCTGCGGTGACTTCGATATATATTACGCCAATTCAAATGAAAATCTTCCGCCCCCAATTCCAAATAATTGTTCTGTTTTTTACTTGCCAATCACATCACAGCCTATATCAGATTCAGCTGACTTGTTCGAACGGTTAGGCGCCGAATATAATATAGAATGGAATCAGTCGGATGATTGTATTGATTGCCACCGAGAGGGAGGACAGTGTACAGTTGACCAAAATAATCGATTTCGATGTGTAAAAGGTAACATCGGCTTTAGATGCTAATTTCTAATTCGTCAATTTAGCTATTTCATATTTAGCCTATGTTTGGTTCCATTATTTTCAAAATATATTTTTAAAAACAGGCTCTTAATTGCTTTTTCTTGTATTCAAATGAGACTCAACCTTATCCCTAATTTGTTCCTGTATATATACATTTTTAGAAAGTAATTATTTGAAATTACTGATTTGAAAGGCCACTTTTGATAAATAACTTATAAGCCACAGTTATCATTATGATCACACTTTAATAATCTTCTCATCAATAGCAATGCTCATCATCGTATTATTTTTATTAGGATAATTCAAAAGATGTTCGATATCTATCACATTCTATAGAACAGACTAACAAATGATTTCACGTAATTTTTGGATCATATACTCCAACTTGTGGTTTATAAGCAACATCTTCATTTAATCGTGTCTTGTGACGCTGAAAAAAAAAACTTTTGACAACCACAACTATTGTTTTTAATTATAAGTTATACACGGAATTTTTTTTTAACATAATTAGTAAAAGTATAAAACGTTTATAAAATTATAAATATTCATTTATCAAAAAATAAATAACTCCTGTCAAATAATATTTTTTCCTAATATAATTATGCATGACTAAGTCGTTGGTTTTTTAAAGTTTGTCTTTTAGCATTGTAATCTATAGTGGCTAAGTCATCTCAATTATAATTAGAATCTTAAATCATTTCCAGACTTCAAAGTCTGTTGAATTGCATAGTAGTGATTTTCTGTAACAGACAATTGAACAGAAAATCTTGACTTCACATGTTCATGAATCATACATACCCCGTAAAGATTTACATGCAGGATTCTAGTATACTGAGAACAATGAGTTCCCATCTTATTTTTATGAAGTTCTCTTCATCTAACGTGTGTTCTGACTTCTGCTGCAGGAAAGAGTAAATTGAAACTGGTTGTTGCCGCAGGTAACTTTTACAAGTTTCAGTATCATTTGTTTTGTTTTATTCATAAACATGGATATCTTTTTTTCATCACAGGCGCTTCAGCTTCAGCGGTAGTCCTTTTCTCAGTAATCTTGTTCACTTTCAAGAAGAGGAAGTACATGCTGAATTTGAAGAGAAAAAATCAAAACCATAAAGACATTGAACTTTTCCTGAAGAACAATAAGAATCTTGCACCAAGAAGATACAACTACTCTGATCTTAAGAAAATGACTAACTCGTTCAGAGACAAGTTAGGGGAAGGGGGCTTTGCTAGTGTGTACAGAGGAAAGTTACCCGATGGCCATC